GTGTCAAGGGGGAAATGGTGAAAACGTGTGTGTGTGTATGTGTGTGTGTGTACTGGCATGAAGAAATGGAAAGGTAATACACCCAGAACCGGAAATGGTGAAAGCGTGTGTGTGTGTGTGTGTGTGTGTGTGTGTGTGTGTGGTGTGTACGCACACACACAGACATGGGAAGGCATCACACGCAGAACGGCCTGTGGCTCCGTGGCTGAGACAAGTCAGTGCACAGCAGAAGGATCCAGGCCTTCTGCACACGGTCATCCAGGGCTGTTGTCCTGTGCCATCCACTCTATCCTAATGCACTGCAGTCCTCTCAGGACAAAGTCGCCCCGCCCCATCGGGTTTCCTAGGAAGGCATTTTTACAGGAGATCACCAGACCTTTCCTCCAATGGTACAGCTTGTGGGTTCAAACCACCGACTTCTCAGTCAGGAGCCAGATGCTTTAACGGTTGCAGCACCAGGGCTTGTATCAACTCAGAACCAAACTCACTGCACAAAGCCTGTTCCACCTCAGTGACTCTGCACGGGGTCTGCAAGGCTGTGAGCGGCAACGGGCAGAGCCCGCCCGTATTTCTCTCTCAGAGCTGCTGGTGGATTAGAACCTCTAGGGACACCAGGCCTCTGGGTTTGCAATGACCCTCACTAAGGATTAGGCCATCAAAGCTCCCTCTGGGTATACCAGAGGTCTGGTAGCCTCATGTAATGAACTGTGCTGTCAACCCAAAGGGGCACAGTTCGAATCCATCAGCTTTTCTGTGATTATACTGCCTCTGAAACCCTGCTGGAGGGTCAGCTATGAGTCGGGTCTGACTTAATGACACCTAACAACAGAACAGCAACAGATTCTGCACATACCCAATTTCCTATTTAAGAGTCCCTGATGCAACAGAAACAAAAGGGGGGGGGAACCCCACAAACCCAAAGCCACCTGTACCCACGCCATCATGAGAGCAACCCCCCGTGGAAGCTCTGTGCGTAACTTCCCTGGGTCTTTATAGAAGCAAATGATCAGGACTTTCTTCTACAGCACTGCTATGTGGGTTCACACTACCAACCTCTAGGTTAGTTGCCAAATACAAACTGTTTGTGCCATCCAGTGACCTTCCCTTGGGACTAAGGGCTGAGTTTTTAAAAAAGATCCAGCCAGTGAGAGGAAAGCAATGTAGACCTCCTTCTGTAGAAGACATGCTCACTACAGTGAAGGGTCAGTGAGGAAGAGAAAGGCCCTCGATGAGATGTATAGAAAGAGTGACTGGGGAAAAATGGGCTCAGGCATAGCCACTGGTGAGGGTGGCACAGGATGGGCAGAGTGCCTGCTCTTGGGCAGAGGGTCGCTGTGAGTTGGACCCAATAACAACAGGAAGTCCCTGGGCGGTATAAGCAGTTTGCACTAGACTACTAAAGTCTGCAGTCATAGACCTCTCCACATTATTGAGGAGCAATGATGTTACTTTGAAGACTAAGGTGTGCCTTATTCAGGCCATGGTCTTTTCAATCACTTGCTATGCTTCTGACGGCTGGACAGTGGATAAGGATGACAGAAGAATGAATGGATGAGTTGTGGTGTTGGAGAAGAGAACTGAACATCCCATGGATGGCCAAAAGATCAAAAAGATACGTGTTGGAGAAGGTGCAGCCAGAGTGCTCCGTGGAGGCAACGATGATAAAGCTTCATCCCACATACTTTGGGCACGTTGCTAGAAGATTATTGCTTGGAGAGGGACATCATGCTTGAGAAGGTGGAAGGACAGGAAAAGAGAGGAAGACCCTCAGCCAGGTGGACCGACACAGTGACTGCAGCGATGGGCTCCTGTGTGTCAGAGATGGTGAGGATGACGCAGGATAGGTCAGGGGTCAGATCTGTTGTTCATAGGGTCACTGTAAGTTGTACTCAATGGGCACATAACAACAATTAGCCTTAGGGTGGATGGTTCAAGTCCACCAAGGGACGCTGCAGGAGGAAGTCCTGTTGGTCTGTAAAGGTCACAGCCATGAAGACTCTATGGAGCAGTTTTACTCTTTTGAGCCTCATTCACTCCACGACAATGGTGTCTGTCTTTGGCGGCGGCGGCCTTAGGAGAGAGTTCCATTCCTGACCCAGGACTGGTGGTGAGGAAGGCAGCCACTTACCTCATGGGCTTGAACATGGCCTTCCCGAAGTCCGAGAACCTCAGCACCAGCTTCAGGTGCACGCCGCTGGGTTTCACAACTGGGGAGGAACAGAGGGTTGATAAACCACGCTCCTGGTCCCAGAACCAGACTCCTCAAGGAGCGGTGACCCTATGTTAACCCACTTCCCATCTCTCACGGAATTAAAACTCTCTTGAGACTGAGTGGCGAAGCTTGTTTTTCAGAGTCTGCACGGCCATCTCCATTTACCGGGCCACAGAGAGCGTGTCCACGGGCTCAATGCGGAGCACTTCCCATTGCCATGATCAAGGGCGCGTGAAACAGGTTTCCTCAGCCCGCTGCTCACTGGCAATGCCAACAAATGTTTTCCTGAGAGTCACCCTTTCCTCTTTAAGCCTCAACTGCACTCACGCAGATTTCGAGGATGCCATCTGTTCTATTACATTAGACTGATCTGTTTATCTGTATCTCCCTCTAAGACCATAAACCAGGGCTGAGCCTGGGATAAGTGGAGCGAGCCCACCAGCCTCCTTGTGCACGACCTTCCTATAGAGAGAGCTGCCTCTGGGCATTTGGGATGTGTTTCGCCTCCCCCTTCACAGCCCTGCTATGAGCTCTGTCCGGGGTGGGGATCGCCTCCTCCCTTGCCTCCAGTGCTTGTTAATGAAAGCTGAGTTCCCAGGTGGTGTCCGCAGCTAACACTGCTCACTGAAAGGCTGCAAGTTCGCATCTACCAAGAAGTGCTTCCAAAGAAAGGCCTGGCCACCTACTGCTGAAGAATCTGCCCCTGAAAACTCTACAGAGCCCAGCTGTACTCCGGCTCTCATGAGGTCTAACACACAGGGTTACATAAAGAAAAGGGAAACCCCGGGCCCCCCATGCCCTTCCAAACCACTGTCACGTCATATCATATGTGGGCATTTCCGTCACATAATTCCCACTTTGGGGGAGTGGGCGAGGCTACCCCTAACGTGTAGGCAGGGTTGCAAGCCACCGTCACATGCAATGCTGCTTAAAAGAGGGCATGAAACCCAGTCGCTTGAGGATGCTGTTAAAGGGCAGATTGTGATCTGGGAAATCAGAGAGGCTTGTGATTCTGCATTTCCAATAATCTCCTGCACTACAGGCCAGGTGGTCCCTGGCTCTAGGTTGACCCGCAGGAATTCCTCTTCACTGCCTTCTCCTCTCTGTGGGTGGGTGGGTGGCATGAAAGGCCGAGCTCACAAGGAGAGGTAAAGCCATCTCCATCAGCTCCAGATCGGGGCCCCCACTGGACAGGGAGCTGGGCAGGCCAGGCTGCTGCTAGCTCTAGGGGGTCACATGACCTTGGCAGTGAGTGGGCAGGTTGGGGTGGGCCAGGCCACTTACTCTGAGTGCAGTCACACGCCCCAAGCAGTGCTTTCTCGTCCTGACTGTAATCTGGAAAGGAGAAGAAGACAGAGAGAACGTTCAGCCTTGTTCCAGGACCGCTGGCCATGTGAGGGCCCATGACAGAGGTGCGGACCAGGTAGAGGGGTACATAGTGGGGGAAGGGATAAGACTAAGGGAAGGGGTACAGCTTGTGAGAAGTGGTGCAGGCCAGGGGAGGGGCTCCTGACTGAGGAGGGGTGCTGATCTAGGGAAGGGATGCTGTGGAGTGGCCCAGAACCCCTGACATCTTGGCTTCTGAAGCTCCACCCCAGGCCCCATGCTCCCTGGACTTTCAGTGGACATGCTGGCAGGACACCGGCTCATCTGGCCACCGCTGGTCCCTTGCGGCATCACTTAGTCTGTCACAGGGCTTTAGAACACAGCTGGAGCCAGCAGACCTGCTCCTGAATCTTCTCTATATTGCTGAGTCCCAGCCAAGTCACTTAATCTCTCTGAGTCTCAGTTTTCGCATCTGTAAAATGGCACCAGCACTGTCATAGGTCACAGCATAAAAATGCACTTCCTCGTTCAAAAGAAACCAGTGAAAGCTTAATTGCAGTGGAGGAAACTCTGACTCCTGGTGACCCCAGGTGTGCTGGTAACAGAAAAGGTGACAGTTTGAATGCACACAGAAGTGCTTCAGAAGAAAGACCTGGCTGACCTATTTCTGAACAATTTGCCACTGGAAACCCTGTGGAACACAGTTCTACTCTGACACACACAGGGTTGCTGTGTTTAAAACAACACTCAGTGAAGGCAAAAATCCTTTTCATAAAGTGTGCAGACACCTGCCTATGCCTCCTTTATAGGGTTTCAATGAGATTATAGTTACAAGATCATTTTAAAAAAGAAAAAGGTCCATGTTTATGGTATTTTAATTATTCTATCTGTGAGATGTCAGAAGAAACCCTTGGAAAGTCCTCTTTGGAGTCTGACCCGATGTGGTGTTCATATCCAGTCTCTCCGACCCGATTCCCAGAAACTCACCTGCGCTGATGGTGGGGAAGCGCCTCATGTCATCAAGGAGCTGGTTGACGAGGGGGCTGGCGCGGGGATACAGCCCATGGCGGTTGATGCCCAGGTGAAACTGGATCCAGCTGGCCTCGGGTCGGAGCTGCAGTGGGGGCTCCACAGAGGTGAGGTTCATCTGTTCTCTATAGATCTTGTGTCGTCTGAAAGAACAGGGAGCATTTTCTTGTTAGAGGAACAAGAATATAAAGAACTGCCAAGGAACCTTCTGATTCAGCAAGTGTACGAAGCACACCTGGCTGTGGCAGGCTTTGTGGAGCCTGGACTTCCTGGGTGGTATACCTGGCTGCTAACTCAAAGGCTGGCAATTTGAACCAGCCCAGAGACACGTTGGAAGAAAGGTCTGGTGATCGATTGACTTCTGAAAAATCAACCACTGAAGACCCTGAGGCTCAAGACCCCCACGGCCATCAAGTCTATTCCACACACAGCAAGTCTATAGGATAGAACAGGACCGCCCCTCACAGTTCCCTAGGCTATAACCTTTCTCCAAATAAGAGGTGGCTGGGGGTGGGTTCCAACTGCTGACCTTGAGGTTAGCAGCTGAGTGTCTAACTACTGCACCTCCAGGGTGCCTTAAGGAGCACAATATTTGCCCAACAAATCTTCTTGGAACAACCATTTCTTTCCTTCTTTCAGCCAATTATTTTATATTTTCTGCTCTACAAGGTTTGCTCCTGAAAATAGTCAATGGGAAAGAAAGAGCTGGTGTACACTACAATCCCAGAGGTACCCGGTTCGAATCCAGCAGCAATCTCCTCCTGTACCAGTCAGATCCGATTTGACAGTACACACACACACAAAATAATAATTGAAAAAAGAGCTGGTGTAGCTGGACTCCCGCCCATAATCTGCACTGTCATTGAAGGCAGACATTCCCTGGGGAGGAAACACTTGCACAAGGTTCTGACCAAAGAGACAATGTGAAGATCAATCAAGACCCATGGCCTTAGCATTGGAAGAGGCCTGGGAGATCCATAAACCTGACCTACCATTCGCCTCTCTGCATCATTTGCTCTTATTAGTGCAGCACTTGTCTGTCGTTTTGCTGTACCAGAGTAACTTGTGGGTTGCTGTGAAGGTGGAAGGGTCACTCATGGTGGACAGGCTTCTACAGAGCTCCCAGATAAAAGACTAGAAAGTTAGGATTGGCCATCCACTTCTGAAACAGCTGGCCTCTGAAAACCCTATGAATAACAGAGGAACACAGGTAGCTATAGTGTTGGAGGTAGAGCCCAGGGCTGCTGCAATGGCTTCAAGTGTGGCACAGAAGAGGACAGGGTTCAAATCTGTTGTTCATCAGGTTGCTATGAGTCATACTTGACAGCATCTAACAACAATAACAATCACTCTTTGTATAGCATCCCTACAAACCAGTGGCCTATTTGATACTTGAATGGTCTCACTAAAGGAGACCTCTATATCCAGAACAGTCGCATCAGTTAGGCCAGCTCTGATTCTTAGGAAATATTTTTGCACCCTGAGCACAGGTCTTTCTGGGTGTTTTTTTAAAATTATTTTTTTTTGTGTGTGTACTGTCAAATCGGAATTGACTGGTACAGGAGGAGACTGTCCCTCCTTCTCCAGCAGAGCATCTGGTGGATTTGAACTGCTCATCTCTGGGAGTGCAGTGCAGTTTCTTGCCACTCGGCCACCAGAGCTCCCCAAGCCCAGGTCTTTCTGTAGCTTCTGCTTTTACCAGGTGAGGCCATGCAGAACAAGTCTTTGTGATATTCCAGGACTCACTGCCCTTGAGTTGACTGTTCTAGAGAGAGCGTAGTTCCCTGACAATCCCTCCCCTCAAGTCCACTCCACTATGCAGCCCTTGTTCTGGACTCCTGTCATGACAATAATACCCAATCATATATCCCTTTTAAACAGTTCTAACTCTCATCTGTTTCAATGCAGTATACATTACTATCCCATCTTTCTCAGTCTCCACCCAACCCCGATGTCAGTCCTGTTTTACAACAGTGGCACTATGCAATATTTGTCTTTTTGTGTCTAAAATATTTCACTCAGCACAATGTCCTCCAGGGTCACTCATTTTGTATAATATTTCATGAGTTCCTTGTTTTTTAAAGCAGCATAGTATTCCATTGTGTGAATATACCACAGCTTCTCTATCTATTCATTTGTTGATAGGCACTTAGGTTGTTTCCATCTCCTTGCTATTGTGAACAAAGCTGCGATAAACATGGGTGTGTATATATCTGCTTGGATGGTAGTTATGGTTTCTTTGGGGTATATTCCCAATAGTGGAATTGCTGGGTCCATGCTGATGTCTTCATAGAAGAGTTTCTACAGAAGATGTAGATTTGAACGTGAGGGTCTTATTTCCCTGCAACAAACCTCAGCGAGGAGCATAAGGTGTTGTGTTGAAACCACTAGTTAAAACAACACATTTTAAACTGGTTCAGCATTTTCTGACGGTGGAGAGGGCAGCTGGTGTTCGATCAGGTCTCCAGGCCCACCGCCAGCTTTTCCTTACTTGATTAACATCTATTTTTATTTTTAAAAATCACCGGGCAAGGCTCCATTTCCCAAGTTGCTCTGAGCATGGAAGGATGCGACTACCAGCCTCTCCGGGGAGTCTGCTGGAAGGAGTGAGGAGTTCTCAGCTTGGTCAGTCACCCCGAACTGCAGCAGCTCAGCATGTGATCAAGAGAAAGCAGCAAAGAGCCCCAGTGGGGCTGGGCCTGGGGGAGCACAGGAGTCGGGAGGCGGGGCTTCCTTCAGCCGATCTGAGCCCTAAGGAATTCCAGCTCCCACCACAGCGGAGGAGACAACATCCCAATCCAAACCCCAAAGTGGCAGATTGAGAGCGACTTCTGGACAAGCACACATGACCCTGGGAAACTTTCACCTTCCACCCTGGAGGGAATGCAGGCTTTCTGGCTGGCGATTCTGCCCTTGGGGAGCCCTGGTTGTGCAGAGGTTAAATGCTTGACTGCCAACAGAAAGGCCAACGGTTTGACTCACCAGCCACTCTGTGGGAGAAAGATACGGCTGTTTCCAGAAGATTCTCGACTTAATGCCGTCAAGTCGGAACTGACTCATAGTTGACCCTCTGGTGGGTTATCAGAGGCTGTAAGTTCACAAGAGGGGCCTGCCCTTCATTTCTCTCATTTATGCTAAATTGGGGGGAGCTGCTGGTGCATTTGAACTGCCTATCTTGGGGCTGGCAGTACAAGTATCTACCACTAGGCCACCAGAGTTCCCTTTCATAAGGGCCTTAGAACTCTATGGCGTAATGTCATTCTAGCTTATGAACTTGGGTCAACTCAACAGATTTGGGCTATTCTGCTCATACTAGAGCCAAGACCCCAAACCTTCACTTGGAGAAAAAGAAGAAGAAGGATTCACTACATCCTTTGTTATTTTGACAGGTAAGGTGGAGCTTTATAGAGTTTATTTCCTTACAGAAACCTTGGCTAAAATCACAGTCATCATATGTGTTTTTGAGGTACTCTTTAGGTAAAAGTGGTTAAATGTCTGACTAATAAAGGTCGGAGGTTTGAGCCCACCCAGAAGTGCCTTGGAAGAAAGGCCTGGCCATCTGGTTCAGAAAGGTGACCGCTATTAACTCCCTGGACGCAGTTCTGCCTGGACACACATGGGCACAGCATGAGGTAGAAACCAACTGCACAGCAACCAGTGCGGCTTTGGATAGTAGCTTCCAGAGGACTCCCTGGGTGCTGAAAGCAGCTAAGGCACTGGGTTACAAACTAAAAAGCTGGAGGTCCCCATAAGGTTTGGGTTAGGTTTCTGTCATCCTTAAAGTGATAAATCCTCCTTCTAATGTGTCTAATGTTGCAATGGTTTGGGGAGACAGGCAGGCAGCACTAAAGGGTGAGGACGACAGGCTGCAGGGCAATAAGGAGTGGTGAGGAGTGTACCGAACTATACAACACATTTGACATCTACAAAGCATGGCTCCCACACTACACAGCGCAGCCACAGAGGGATGGGGCCTGGTCCTCTCATCTGCTCTCCATGATCCAAACAGGACATCAGGGATTTGTTCCTGACCAGCAGGGACCTGAATTGTCAAAAGGGATTTTATTTTAAAAACAAAACCAAAATAACTTCCCTGATCTTATCATGCATGTGGGTCAACGTAATAGGTACCTTTCTCGGTAATCTTTCATTATCGCTTCCTTGTCAACCTCATCGCCAGTGAGTTGAAACTGACCCATAGCTGACCCTCTTAGTGGGTTTTCAGAGGCAGTGAATCACACAAGAGGAGATTGTCCAGCTCTATCCCACGGAGCAGCTGGTGGATTCAAACCAAGTGCCTTTGGGTTGGAAGTACAATTCCTTCCCACTAGGCCATCAGAGCTCCCTTTTAATCACTTGGGTCCTCATTAAGCTCTTGCTTCTAGTCTAAATAAGAGTTATGACTCCTTTCTTTTCCCACCTCCTAATCACCTTCAATCTTTTTTCTTGGGAAGTTTCCAGTACATGACTTCATCCTGGTGAGAATCTACCAAAGACCATCTCATATATCCTCCTGTCCAGCACGAATCTTTCCTTGATGCTCTCAAATGAAAGATGTTTTTAGCCATCCTGGTAACTCCATGTGTGTGGAGCAGAATCGCACCACAGGGTCCTCAAGCCTGTGAACTTTCAGAGGCAGATTGCAAGGCCTGTCTCCTGAGCCTGCAGGTGGGTTTGAACTGCCAACATTTCACCTAGTAGTCTAGCGCTGAAGTATTTGTAACCACTAAAACAGGAGGCCTGTTGATGGAAGTGTCAAACTATATGCCTGCTGGACTGAAGTGAGTGCTTTACAGAAACACAGACATCACCAAGTCCAACGGGCCAAGCGAGAACACTCAGGAGAGGGACAGGAAAAATGCAAGCAGGGTTTTCTGCCACAGAGACTCAGTTCTGCTCCTTACCAGGGGCCTCACCTCAAGGACAGTGCTGGGGTTATTGCTGTGCACAGTTTCTCACCTGAATTTACAACCACCCCAAAAATATAGATATTCTCAGTTTGCAGAAACCCTGTGAGACAGATATTCTTAGTCTGCAGACAAGAAGACTGAGGTTAAAGTCTGTGTGAAGTCACTGTGCCTAAAACACTTGGTAGCTACCCAAAAGGTCAATGGTTCAACCCACCAGTTGTTCTCTGGAGAAA